GTTGTGCCAGGACAATGGGATGTGCCTGGAATTGGATTGTTTCTCACCAAATGGAAAGGGAGGGGTCTGGTAGGAGGGACAGTTATACTGCAGAATGACCACAAGGGGACAGTCAGGGGCCAGAGATGGGGACTGGGACAGTTATAACCCCATTGGGCCAGCAGGGGGCAGAGGTGAAGACAAGGATAGCTATCTCCTATATATTTCAGAGTTTGTCCATGTGTCTGCTTGTCTGTATGTCTGCCTGTTCCCCGGCCAAGGGACCCTCTTCAGCATCTATCTATCTATCCCCACCCACCCCATCTATCTATCTCCATGCATCTCTCTCTCTCTCTCCAGACCTCTTAGTCCATCTCTCCCCATATAGACCCCACAACCCCTCCCCTCCCTCAATCCATCCCCCTCCCGCCGAGCTCTCTACCTTTCCTACAGAGATGGGCTGTAGTTTGGATCCGGTTGGGATCCAGAGTTGCACCCTGGGCCCAACGGGGCAGCGACCCCCCCCCACTCACTGCCTGCCGTCTACCAGGCAACCATCCGACTGGGCGGCCCCTTGGCTGCTCCTGCTCCTTTGTTCTGTCCTATCTTTTCCATCCATGTGCAGAATAAATGCTGTGCTGTGCACCAGGGCATGTGCAGATGTGCACCACCCATAGAACCACACCCTGCTGGCTGCGGACACTCGGCTAACCAGCTGGGTGGCATTTGAACACTCCAGATCTCATCCCCAACCCCCAACCAGCAGTTCCTCCCGCCCCCTCACCGCCCCCCACCCTCTCCTCGCTCACGGCGACCGGAGCGAGACCGACCGACTCACCCACCCCGCGTGCCTCTTCCGGCCTACCCTCCCTCGCCCCAGGTGGTGGTGGGGTTGCCCCCGCGCTGAGTCAGCGTAAAGCGCCGGCTGGCAGGCCCCGGGCTCCGCCATGGGGCCGGGTGGTGCTGGCTGCAGCATGCGCCGCGCGCCCCCCTGCCATAACTCTTGGAAATATTGTGTGTCTTTTGTGGAGGGGGCTGACAAATTGTGAAGAAATATTTAATTGATTTGTTTATAAATTTATTTTGTATCTGGTGAGAAATCCCAGGCTGTAAATAAAGGGTCAGGGAAGGAATAAACAAAATTTATAAGGCAATAGAAAAGCACCATCAAACAGTGAATCATGTAATTCAATCTAACAAGCAGGACTCCACCAAGCTTGCAATAAAAAGGCGGCAGCCGCGGGCGGTGGGGCCGTGGGGAGGGAAGGAAGAACGACCTGGCCTTATTATCGCTCGGCTCCTCGTAAACGTCAGCTCCGTAGCTCCTGGATGCTCCATCTCAGGAGCAAATAAAGTTCCCCTCATTAAAGAGGGGCCGGTTTGCGTCCTTCCTTCGTTGGGCTGTTGCTGGCTCCGGGGGTAAAGCCGCAGCCCCCCCCTTCTATTGTGGGGCCGTGGGGAGGGAAGGAAGAACGACCTGGCCTTATTATCGCTCGGCTCCTCGTAAACGTCAGCTCCGTAGCTCCTGGATGCTCCATCTCAGGAGCAAATAAAGTTCCCCTCATTAAAGAGGGGCCGGTTTGCGTCCTTCCTTCGTTGGGCTGTTGCTGGCTCCGGGGGTAAAGCCGCAGCCCCCCCCTTCTATTCTCCCCACATGCCTGCGGGATCAACAGGCCAGGATTGGCCCCATGCATCCCCCCCTCCCCTGGCCTTCCTGTAAGTGCCGGGAGCGGGTGGCCCCAGGTTTGAAGTTGGGTGCTCCTGGCAGGCCTAGGGCCTCTGGGCTCCACGTCGAAAGGGCTGGAGCGTCGCCTCGCAATCCAGCCGGGCTGGCCGGCCTCAGGGGCAGGCAGGTGCCACCGGACAACCCCTGCTTCCCCCTTCCCAAGGCACCTGGGGGAGGTGTCCGCCACCGGCCCGGCTTGGGGGCTGGGTCCCAGCTCTAGCGGTACCCCACGCAGGGCCTCCTTTCCTCACGTCCTGTGCCTGAGTTCCAAGTGCTTCCCAGCCATGCCCGGAGTCGCATCCCCCGTGGGGGGGGGCAGTATCAGAGCGCCCCTTGTACTGGTGGGGAAACTGAGGCATGCAGCAGGGCAGTGACTGGGCTGCCCCGCAGACCCTTCCTGCGCTGCAGGGAAAACCCGAAGCCAGCCGGCCCTCGGCCCCGCGCCCGGACAATGCAGGGCGCCGGAGCTGGGTGCGTGGAGAGAGGGGGGCTGCCCCCCGGCTGCCCAATGCAGCGCGCTCGGCCCTGGCCTGCCAGGAGCTTGGGAGACGTCGCAGCTGGGAGCCAGGCCCTGGGAGGAGCCTGCGGCACCTGAATGACAAACCCTCGGCAAGAAGGGGGGACCCCCCAGAGCATCATGGGAGATGTAGTCTGAGATGCTTGGACGCCCATGGGGGATGGTGGTGCATGATGGGTCTTGTAGTCCACCCAGAGAGCTTGCCCTATCGGAGGAGGAAGTTGTGAGGCCCTGCAAACTACGGCTCCCATGATGCACTGCGGCATGTCTGCCAACCCCAACTTTTTGCTGCTTTTTGCTGGCAAATCCAAATGGTCCATGGGCGGGAGGAGGGGGGGTGCAGAAACCCCCCCCCCCCCCCGCCCCCCCCCCCAG